TTTAATGGTTAAAAGCCCGAGGAGATTGTAGCTTCATTTGCTGCTTTTCATATTTTCTTTTCACAAACTTGTATTTTCCTCGAGCCGAGTTCGTTAGCGGGATCCTGGTAATGTACTAACTGACCCCGCGGCATCTACGCGAAAACATAGCACTATTTACTTTACATAGAACACATTTCTGTGTCTGTTTCATTGATCGGTTTTACAGGCAAGTAATTCATGAGACTTCTGTACCCTGCCCGACTGAAATACTATAGTTTCCCCGGGATTCGAACCCAGATATATATAAGTTGTAAGTATACGAACTTCACCGCAAGTATACAAAGCTTTTCTTTAAGTCGTCGTAATTGTCAAACTTAGCGTATTAAATTAATAGGTTATCTGTGCTAAATAAGTAGAATACCTACTCTTCAGAAAAGTGGGAATAAACAGACAAGAAATATTAAAATCATTCTTGTATTAATCTGTGTAAATAGTACAATATTTTTGATATGATTAAATATACAGAAACGCGGTCTTTATTTCTTTATTATATTACTAGCTGACTAGGCAAACGTTCTTTGCTATATGAAGATTTCCAACGAAATTTGATTTCCATAAAAACAGTTCTTGTGACTTAAGCTTAAAAGATAGACACAATATTGTGTTGCGGATATTTTCTGTCTGTCTGTAGTTTATGCATTCAATTACGATATAAATATAACACTATAATGCTGAAACGTCGGGCTGTAATTAAAATAATTTTCAAAAAAGTTTAACTAATATATTTCGCCTTTTAAACCCTAAAAATGTTTTATTTAAACGAAAAATTATTTCATACATATTTTTTGGGTAAAAATAACTATGGTTTAAATTCGCCCATTCAGGCAATGTGTAAATTGTACAATTGTGTTTTTAAATTGGATCAATTAGATTTATTCGTCAACTCAAATATGTTCTAGAAAACAGTTTTAGAAATATCACTATCCATAAATATTAATTAGATTTTTTTGTTTTTATTTGTTTAATCTCTAACCTACCTTTATCTGTACTTTTAATTTCTACGTAAAAATGATTTTTTTAAACCTCTATTTAATACATTTAGTTAAAGTTGTGTATACCTTTGAGTTAGATACATAAGTAGTAATAATTATCATTAGAAATAGATCTTGTAAGTTTAATTATGTTTGTAGTTGGTAAGCCTTGTATAAATAAATAAACGTACGCAAAGAGAGCCCTTAAAAAAAACTATTATTTTTCGTTTTTTTCATATATTTCACCGTTTCTCCGCTCTTATTAGTTGCATTTTTTATAGGCTAAAGCCGGCCCCGATAAATCGTGTAGGTATCCAACACACAAAGATTTTTTTCAATTCGAACTAATAGTTCTTGTGTTTGCGCGTTCAAACAAACAAACTCTTTACCTTTATATATTAGTATTGATATGTACGTACGGGCACTGAGGCAATAATAGGTCGAAGGAAGACAATACACATAGATCGGATCACATAACACTTTGAAGACGTCCACACTCGGCATCTTGTTTGTGGTAATTAGATAAGTTTGCTTCGAAACGACAATTTGTGTCGCTTTTGTTTCGTTATTTGAATGTCTCATTCAATTTTGCTAAATGTGTACTTAGTGACAACTGTCACCTGAATTTGACAGTTGGCACAATTTGTTAATTATCTGTGATTAACTGTGTCCGCGTCTTCGTTTTTGATTTATTTATTTGTGCAAACAAATGGCGTTAAATTAAAAGCGAATAAGGAGCAACACGTCGTGAGTCCGATCTTTACCTGTATTAATATTATTTTTTTATAAAGGCGAAGGAGAGATAAGTATAAGGTTTATTAGTTGGAAGGTTGAGATACCATACCCATATGTCATCTCAATAAAATGCGCTTTCAACTTATTAATCATTAATATTTTTGGCTTTGGATATTTGGAATCCACAGACTGAAACCAAAACCGATTTACGACTTTTTTATCTATGGGCGGTGGTTCGTAACTCGGACGGAATTTTGATATTCCTACCACTTGGGGATCAAACCCACGACCCGAATTAAACCAGTATTTATAAATATCTGTAAATACTAAAGATTATTTTTTTCTAGTAAAATTTTGAAGATGTATAAATGTCTAATGACTTATAGATTAGGCTGTTGTCAATTAATTTAAAGGCAACATTTTAAGTCCGGTGTAATCAATGTTAAGTTAAGCAATTGGCAATTGTGTATCCCTTGCACGTACTGTGCGCTGAATAGTTGGCTGGGAAAGTTTTCCGTTATTTGTCAGCGAACAGTAGCGTTTTACAAGACCGAACTACTCGCCATTCGCAAACTATGTTAAGGAAATGGATTACGTACATCATGACTTTGTCCGTCTCGACTCGCTTTGCATATACGTGAGCCAATGTTGATTTTGGGGCTATAAACGGTTTGCGTGAATCCTTTATTCGGACTTAAAGTAGCTACTGAAGTCTCTATTTGAGACATTTTTAACCATACATGTAAGAAGCATACATCTTTGTTAGTTGGTGTGGAAAAATCGTAATGTGGTAATAAATAGATTAGTTAAAAATACTCACAGCTTTATTACTAATTTAAGTTTTGTAACCTTTTATTAAGTAGTGTAGGTTACGCGAGTTAACAACTTGAACCACATTAAGAACCTAAACAACTTAAACGGGTTAAAACACAAACTATATGTTTTTTGCTGATCATACCTAGAAGTTATGTCACACAGTTCGTGTTTCGATTTATCTTTTTTTATAACACTTATGTGTTTATTCACCTAACATCTACAGTAGATGGACTTATTGAAAATCAGTTTCAGGTCAACACAACATCTGATTTAAGCTTAGTAAGACGCAATCCTACAAACTTCCTACACACAATATTTTTTTTTACTTAAAGTATTCTAACTTAGTCGACTTATTTAAATAAAACATTACAAAAGTTTAAAACGCGATATTTATTAGTTAAATTTACTTTAACAGGCCAGCTTTTCTTATGCTTTGCCGCAGCCGTGGTCACAGAGACTATTATATATCGCTTTTTAAACCGTTAAAGTGTTTTATCCAAATGTGTACTACTCGTGTAAACTACAGACATTATTTAGTCTACGGATTTAATCAGTTTTAATATGTATATTTTATGATTGTAAAAAAATATTTATTTTCTTCATATTCCTTTCTATTTCTATATAAAGATGAAGAGTTTGCTTGTTTGCTTGAACGCGCTAATCTCAGGAACTAACTAAACTAAACTAAATAGGAGCGAAGATAAAGCGAGAAATGTAAAGAAAACGGGGGAAAATCTTCATATCTGTGGGTTTCAGATGCGTACGCTGCGAAAACGGTTCAAGACACCAAAAAATATGCTTGAAAGAATGATTCCTCATTAAATGATCTAAAAAAAGATGTCTTTATGTCTATCTTTTAAAATTGACTTGCAAGAACGACGGAACCCGAACGGGACGCGACCGATGTCGTGGGTAGCTTAAATTTATAAAGATGTAGAGGTTTGCAAAAACAAATTTAGATGCCCAAAATAACTATTCTACTCGGACACTCGCTGACACAGCTAGTGTAATATAAAGTTAACGTAGTTATTTTTACGGTCTTTTAAATTACCTTATTTATAACGATCAATTTCATTATTAAAAACCTATAGTACTATGTGCTAGCTCTTATTAATAATGAATATACAATATTACCAGTATCTATTGAAATCAGATACAGGGAATAGGAGAAGTTTTGCAGCTGACTCCCATTGCAGTCAATAAAATGTAACTTGCATCATTAAAATCAGATGTGGACGGAGTTATTGGTTGGCTTTGTAGCATCAGGTTACTCGATAGAACTTTATCCAACTTTAATTAGATACTCTTTTCAGGTTCTTTCAGGTTGTATCTTTTAGATCTTCATATATAAATGACTGATTAGTTGTTTGAAAGATTAATATATTTAAATCAAACATTTTAACGGGTTAAAACGCGATATATTTTAGTTAAACTTGTTTAAAAAATTATATTTAACTACGGCCCGACGTTTCAGATGCTTTGGAGCAGCCGTGGTCACGGGGAGACTGAAAATGTACTACTCGCGTAAACTACAAACAGTATTAATATTATTATGTTGATCCAACCCTCACAAAGAATGCAATATTTTCAACCAAATTTGATTACTGTAACTGTAACCGCCGGTAAATGCGAGTTAATCTTAAAAGATAAGACCTACTGCCGATGACATTTTTTTTAGATCATTCAACTCTTTTATACATATTTTTTGATTTCTTCAAGCGCTGCGCATGCAACGGAGAACGTCAAAAGAATTTTCCCCGTTTTTCCACATTTCCATCCTTTCCTTTGCTTCTACTGGCCGCAGCTAGAGGCAGCTAGAAGAGGAACGTTAATTTATCCAATGAACACATAAATATTTAATTCAAACCACCACCTCAGCTTTATAATGTAAAATATATATTTGCGGACGAGAGCTCAGTAACTCGCGAAAGATTGACTCATAAGACACAAGATTACTCCGAACTTTTATATCTAAGCGTAGCATCAAACAAGTTTAATTAAAACATTCCTTCCAATATTTTCCACTCTCGAAGCGGGGCGGGGAAAGTTTTTATGTTTATAAGGGAAAGTACATTTCAAATTAAACGTCTGTTTTGAAACGTTTTTGTCGGAGTTCCTTTCCGAACTTGGCCGATACAAAAAAGGCATTTACCGGGAACGGCTTTTGTAAAGTAGCGGATTAGGAAGGTAATTTTAGCTTGGACGTCCTAAATAATTTTTGTCACTTGTGACTAGAAAATCACTTAGTGCGTGTAAATCGGAGTTTTGTCTGTTGCTTATGCGAGTAAACAGTATTTATTTATAGCTAGCTATATATATATACATAGGGCCAATGACGCAAAATGGCTTCCTTTATTTTTCAGCCGCTATCAATGCCCGGATATATCCGGCATGTGACAATTTCATTGGATAATTTTTATGAATGTTCGAGAAGCTATGCGAGATTATGTCGGAATGATCGGCCCTGGAGGTCGGCCAAGCGCCTCCAGCAACAATGTGCGCTGCCAAAACCTCCCTGATCGATGGCCGAAGGAATTTGCAGCTGGATTTGCGAATATAGATATGTCCACTGCATTGTATACGTATTTAGTATGCCAATACTGCGAATCAATAGTCAGCCACGAGTGTCGAGTTATAGAAGCAGGTGTTTCTTGTTTGAATAACTTCACAAGGGGATATAGTGGTTCTAGGAACAATAATATAACTATACTACGATTCAAAATAACCATGTACCTAATAGGTCATTCCTGTGATATCAGCTCCGGCTGCCACTAGTATCTTGGCTTCGGAATAGCATGGTGGATAAGCTCTTTAAGTCAAAATAGGCTGACAACGCATTATGTCATTTAATTTCATGGTTTTTCATCTTTTATCAAAAATGGCTGGGGTTTTTTATCGCTTCCTTCTTCACCCTTTTCATGGAGAGAAGACCTGTGCCCAATAGTTAGAAATTAATAGGTTGGTGTTACTTTTTTTCATATAAAAACAAATAGTGGGCGGGACTCAAACGTCAAGTGCTTTGCAGATTGTAAGTTATGTTTCGTATATGTAATGAACATAATAAATAAACTAGCTGTGTCATGTAAATTTGGTTTTGCAAACCTCTTCATCTTTAAAAATTTAAGCCGTTACCCACGACATCGGTCGCGTCCCGTGGCTTGCAACCCGTCGTTCTTTCACACTTATTTTTCGAGTGTCAACCCACAAAGATGAATAATTTCCCCCCGTTAATTTCCACATGTCTCACTCTCTCTTCGCTCTATTTAGTCACTTCTTGATATACGCTCTAACCAACACAAAAAGAATTTTTCAATTCGAACCAGTAGTTCCTGAGATAAACACGTTTAAACAAACAAACTCCTTCAGCTTTATATATTAGTATAGATAACAATTAAAATTGTGTGGGTTTGTTGATTTATTTTCACCAGACCCTTTCAATCTAAGACACTAGCTTGTAGGTGCCATTCCTATCTCTTTATCTACCTCATTATGTACTATATGCTATATTTTGTATATTGTTCCTTTACGTAATGCGAGACTGCCTTATAATCGAATGATACAATATTTACAACGAGTGTCTACACAAAGGTAGCTTAAGTAAACGAAACAAAGCCATTAAAATATTCATGAGGACTGCGAATCTAATGCTCTTCAAGACTCGCGAACATATATCGTTATATCAAAATCAACGCAAAGGGAATATTTGAGAGCGCATTATCGTATTATATAGCAAGCTTGAAGAGTTTGTTAAATGTTTTTGAACATCTCGTTAATAGCTGAACAGAACTACTGATTTAAAATAAAAATAGATCTTTTCTTTCTTATTTGAATAATTGTTTGTTTGAGCGATTTATCGAGGAACGCTATTTGAATTGAAAAAATATCGTGCTGTGACTTAAATAGAAAGGCGAAGATACCGCTTGAAAAGTGAACAAAAGGGGGGAAATTCTTCATTTCTGTCGGTTTCAGTTGCGTACGCTGCGATAACGGTTCAAGATCATCATATCTAAAAAATGTATATGAAAGAATGATTCCTATTTAAATGATGTAAAAAGCCCGTAACTATATGTCTATCTTTTAAGATTAACTCGCAGGAACGACGGGAAAGGACGCGATCGACGTCGTGGCTTATAGCTTAAGTTTACAAAGATAGCGGGGCTTCAAACTATTGGTTGCGGACGATGTCGCTGGTACAGCTAGTGTTGTTATAAAAGTTCGTAAACAGCGTGTCCTTCGACAAAGACCACCTCTAAACCTTTCCATGCTTGCCTGTACCTTGCTACTGTGGCAGCTATTTTTTTGAGGTCATCCTTCCAGCGCTTAACCTGGCACCCTGGACTTCTTTTCCTCCTCTAGGATACTTTTCACTAATGGTTTCGTCCATTTTTTTTCCATATCTTAGCATATGGCATATATTACACGAGTTAATAATTTCTAAATAAGATTAGACTAATATATATACATCGCGCTTTAAACCGTTAAAGTTTTATTTAAATCTGATAGTCGTTGCAACGTTCGTGTTTAACAGAAATGTTGCTTATGACTATGCATCTCATAGACTCAAAATGATATCTCCATTTTGGGTTCTGAGCGATATTGAAAAATGCTTAGCGATATTTTAGTTCGAATGCGAAGATTGATGATGGCGTGAAGTAGTGGACATTTAACTATTAGCAGCTCGAATGATAGATGGCTGAATTGTCTGGCTAAAGGCGGAGACACAGTGGGCTTAAAATTTAACTCATTACATCATAAAAAAATAACAAAATAAAATAGTTTTTAGTACTTTATAATTTTACCGGGTATTAAGAAGCAACCGTGATTTTATAAAAAAGCAAATAAAAACACAGAAAATGTCTGTACGTGGGCTATATACACGTAATAAAACGACAACAAGTGTTCAAAACGCGGCTTATTGGTCAAATACAAGTTTAATAATTTATTTCACGATTTAAACCGTTATGAGTGTTTTATGTAAATTTGACAGTAAGTTACATCAAACTACATTTATTTCATTTGTTTTTTTTTGTATTTCATAATAATGTGTTGTTGAATTGTAATTGTTTTAAGTAAACTAGTTATAAATAACAACTAAAAAAAAAACAAATATTTTATCAAATGCAATGTACACACAGCTTTTACGCAGCACTTAGGAGCTATTATAAAATTTAATTTTTTTTGAAGGTTATTTTTATATGTACAGCATCTCTTAATTAAATGAAAAAGCCACAGGGCTATTGCATTCCTTATTTGTCTTTAAATCTTATAAAAAAGATCGATCAATTGTACACTTGGCCTTACATTGAAATAACCTTAGTGGTGAATTTTTAGGTCATTTATACACTAGCAGAGTCCTGTCCAGGGCCCTGTATTTGTAAGAGAGGATTTACACGTTTTATCACGTGGCCTTTGTTCCGTTTGGCTTTGCGTCCGCCTTTTGATATACAGGCCATTTGGACGCTGTGCATCGCAGATGCTTTCCCACATCGATGTCTGCGTTATCCTATTATAGATTCACGCTTTTGCGTATCGCTTTGATATGTATTTTTTGAATTTATTCTATTGCTTGACGGTTTGTTCCGGTGGTGTTTGATATTGCATTTTGCAAACCACCTTGGGTATGGACGTATTTTCATTAAAATAAAAGGCACATACTGTACACACATATTCTTTATATATTTCGTTAAAATCTCAAAGGTTGTAAGTAAGGTAATTATATATAACATTTTATATACAATAGCTTAAGGTTTGTTAGTTTTTTAATCAACACCAACAGGATCGAGCAAAGTTTAAATTATTTAAATTTCTAAGAATAATTTTAAATTTTACTTAATTCATAACAGTGTGCCCATTGTGTTAATTTTTTTTCGATTTAGTCGTGTAACTAATTCTCTGTCATCCATTTTAAAAGAATTAACTTTCTTTGAATCAACTTTTATTAAGCTTATTTATTATTATAATGTTTCTTTATTTTAAAATAAATAATTACGTCGCTCTTGTTTAGACGATTGCATTTTAGACTAGACACAAGGTATGCAGTTGATCGCGGGTTCGAATCTCTCTCGTGTTAAAATATTGCATTTTAAAGTTTATTAACATATTGTGAAAAATTAATGATTCATAAATATGTTTCTTATGCTTAGTGCCTCTTATCAAAATAATAAAAGTTATTTTACGGGGTAACATACGTAAAATAATATTTTATACGGAATTCATTCATGTTTTGAAGTATGTTCCAGTCCAGTCACGTACAGTGATCCGCTCGGGAGAGTAAGTTTGTGATTTCCTCTAACTCGGATCAAATCTCCCAGAAATCCGCGGGGATAACGATCCCGCTTAAATGTACAAAAATAACACTTAGGCCCGTAACTTATGAGATGTGAGGGCCACAATTTTATGTTCCATAACTGAAACCATGGTGATCCTTCAACCTACGATCTCCTCTTAGATCTTTAATTTCATTAAGTTTGAGTAAATTTTTATTTTAAACGTAAATTCTTATTAATATAAATTTTTATGTTATCTTTTATCGATGTGTTGTTTTTCCTTTAACTCTTGCTATGTAATGTGTAACAAATTTTATATAACATTCATAAATCCGTGAAACTATTAAGGAATTTAGGCTTTATTTTTCTTTGTTACTCTTGTGCTATACTTTTGCGTAATTTATCTGCTTGTTTCTTTTTTGCTAAACAAGTAAATACATTGCCTTCGCGTAAACAATCAACGCAATAATTGGCAAGATACCGCCAATAATGTACGTTTATTTTAACATTGCTATGTTTTTTTTGATAGACAACGCTAAATTTTTGATAGGCAAGTTCTAGTTGATTATGAATAGAAATATTGAACAGCTAACCTTCAGCTTTGACTCTTTCTAGCTCAATGGTTATATGGGGCCTGGGTTCGAGTTCTGGGGAAACATAATAAATAGTTTTGAATAAACTGATTGCTCAGTGAAATAGACCCTAGTAAAGTCAATAAATAAGTTTAAATCTTATGGATAAAAAAAATACTTGGAAAGAGTTATTATGGCGGTGTTGAATATTTTAATAATAGCAATTTGAAAACGAAACGTTTTAAATAAAACCGCTCTTTCAAGAAAAAATATATAGTTGTATATATGGACTCGCTGAATGTAAAATAAAACTTGGCGATAAAAGGAGAGGCGGCGAGTTAAATTTTAACCGTTTTGACGTTCATAAGTCTACCTACTTAACTATGTAAATTAAAAAAGCACAAGATAGAATACAATAGTACATACATGGTTTATTATAAGTATATATAAGTATCGTGTGTTTAACAAGCGTTGTATGTTATCAGACGCAGTATATCAGCGCAGTGTTTTTCCTCGTCAAGTGTCCACATCGGTGACGTTAACAGCTCTTCAGCCCGACACTCGGAACCGTCGTAAAACACCCTTAACTTTTCCTCCCGGGTAATATATGGCCCGTCCTCTTGCGACGTGTTTACGAGAACAAAAAATGATTAACACTCTATGTACTTATTATGAGCTGCGTTCAGAAAACTAGCGATTAAAGATTGGCATTGGCAGGAAGTAAAAAATAAATATTAAATACTGTCTATAGTTTACGCGAGTGTCTCCCCGTGACCACGGTTGCTGAAAAGTATCCGAAACGTCGGCCCGAAGTTAAAAACAATTTTCAATAAGTTTAACCAATATGTATATCGCGTTTTAAACCGTTAAAGTGTTTTATTTATATATATAAAAAAAAAGACAAGTAATAAGTATTAACATAAAACACTTTTAACAG